TCCAACAACTGATCTGAAATTAGGTCTGGTAGGTTCATAAAAAATCATCATCTTAACAGGAACATTGGTGAGTTCATCAAAAATCATCATCTTAATAGGAACATTTGTCTGTTTGATCAGAACCAACTAATTTGTCAAAAGTTATTCTTATACCATGAGACTAAATTCACCTGTTGAAACTGTCCGATCCGGTGTATTGATGGATCCTTTGCTGTTGGTCCAAAGAATTCCTGACCTCTTCTTTTTTTGGATACTGGGGGTGATGAAGCATAGCCAGAGGATCCAATAGCTCCAGTAATGGCAGCATTTGCTGCCTGTTGAAGATATACCATGTTGTTGCCATGGTCTCCATGGAATAGTGCTTGTCTCTCTTCACTTCCTTCAAAGTTCTTGCAGTCCATGCACTTGCAGTTCTCCGAGCAGAGAATGTTGGCTTGGAAGCATTCACAGTATTTCTTCAGACACCCTGATTTCTTGCAATGGCATCCTTTGTTGTGCTTCCCCAAAATCAAAACCTCTCCTGCTTCCTCCTAATGTTTCCAGACCAGACACATTCTTGTCAACAATGTCTAATGTAGGGTACTATAATTAGAAACACCAATAGCAGAAATATTTAATATAATTCTAATTAGAAGGTGTTGAATTTAATGCTGTACCAAAGTAAAACCAGTAATTCACTTCCATCCAGGCCATTTCTTGTGACGGCAAAAAAATAAAAACCATACATGATTCACCATAAATGGAAAGGCAATATACACCACAAGCTCATAAATCATTCAAAAGAAATTGGACATGTAATGATATTTCATACACTCCTAAACCGCGACATCACTTTCAAAATGAAGGCGACAGGCAGACCAAAATTCCATATTAGATGAAACCAGCAAAATGAAGGGAAAGTATACATCTTGAATGCTCTCGTGACTTTAGAACCATCATAAAAGGTAAAAATAGAAAACACTACAACGACAGCACGCATATTAAAGAGATCTCTTTCTGTAACATTGACAACTGCAACTCGCAAAAGGCAAACAGTTGAACTTCAGTTTGTTGAACAAATAATACAATATCAAAAGATGCATCATGTCTGAAACTAGGCCATCAAACTAAGAGATACATACCCGAGTATCCTTTGCTCCATGAGGGCTACTCGCAATTTTAGGCCTGAATGCATTTGGATTACGCTCCAAAGTAGCTTCAATTGCATCATTCCTAGCACCTTCATTTTCAACATTATTGCAACAGTTTACGCAGTTGCACCCGTCACAGTAAATTCCAGATGCAAAACACTCACAATACCTGGTCATAAAATAACAACGTTATTGCAACAGTTTACAGAGTTGCAACCTAAACCTTTTGATGCACAAAAGTCATGTAAATTGGCAATTCTTGCATGACAACTGAGAACTACCAGAGAAAATCAAATGAACCATGAAATCTGTAACAAATCATCAAATCCTGGAAGGAATGGTTTTCATACTAACCAACTGAGTGCAGAGATGATATGCACTTACAGCTTTAAGCAGCGAGAGTGTTTACAGTTACACTGTTTTTGCTTCTTAGGAGTACCATCTTTTGCATCAACATTGGGTCTTGGTCTCGATTTTGGGGATTCTGGTTTCCTAAGAAAGCAAAATAATAGTGTTTAGTGCTTACAATATAAATAAAACAGCTTGAGGTTGCACACGTGGATTCTCACTCTTAGGCACACTGGTCTGTTCAGATGTATATGTGCAATAACAACAACAAAACTCAAGCTTTACAAAGTTTAGTAAATGAATTGAAGGACAAAGGCAGATCATCGATCAGAGCCTTATTATCACCAAAGCCAGAATCACAACTCAAATTCCAAAATCTCGAACTCAGTTCAATGAATGTTGCATAAAACAAAAGTCATACTCAAATCAGTAAGGTTATGAGCTTTTGTAAATCGAAATTCAGATGAAGAGAGATCCTTGATATCAAACTAAAACATTTGCAATAAAACTGAACTATCAGAACAATGTCAATTCATCAAATTCAATTATTCCAGAAATGCAAATGCAATTCTCCCATTCGTTTACAAATGCCCACGTTAAACAAACCGAACTTTAGCAAAGCCAATGGCAAAAATCCCATTAAAACTTACCCAAAATCAATCCGTCAAACAAAGATTGAAACATTGTTTCTTACAGCCGAAAACACACCAGCTCCGAAACTACCCTCCATAGAAAACCAATCAAATCACCTCAAAAAAAAAAAAAAAAAAAAAACCAATCAAATCACCTCCAATTTTGAGAACTATTCCCACATTACCTCACAATCCAAAATCCAAATTCTCAACCGAAATTCAACTACGAAGCCATAAAATTAACAAGCAGCAGAATTTTCCAATTCCAAACAAATTAAACTTATTCGCATATCCCCTCGAAAAGCTACAAACTTACACAAGCTTCAGTGTATGCGGCTGCTGCGGCACCAACACCGGCACCGGCACGGACACCACGGGGGGCTTTGGCAGACTCGGCGGCACCGCCTCGGTTGGCAGTGGTGGCTTAGGGAGCTCCGGCACCGCCACACTCGCCGGAGCGCTACCAACCCCGGTGAAATCGAGCTGCCTCGCAAGCTTCTTCGCCGGGACATCGTTCATCGAGGACGAGGACGACGTCGTGGCAGTGCCCGCTGCCGCATCCGATTGAGCCTTCTTCGGAGCCGAATCGGCCCCGTCGCCTTCCCCCATGAAATCCAAAAATTCAAATTTCCAAAATTTCTCCCAAAAGTTTCGAATTTTTCTTCTTCCACAAAAAAACTCAATCCACTGATCACTCTCCGATAATTCCTCAAATTTACCCGCTTTCAGATCCGAAACACAATCAGATTCCTCCAGAAGAATTCAAACACTCCGAAACTGCTCGGCCCCGCAGCTCAAGATTCGCGGCAAAGCTCCGCCATTGGCCACCGGCAATCCAAACGGCGTCGAATTGCGAAACAGAGGCGTCCGCAAAACCGAAAAATTCTAGAGAGAGAATGTAGAGAGAGAAAAATCGAGGCTTTCGAGAGAGGAATTGAGAAGAGTGAAGGGAGCAAAGGGGGCTTTCTTCTGTTCTTCTTCTTTCTACTTCGTCTCTCCTCCCTCTCTCTTCCAGGCTTTTGAAATTTCAATTTCTGCGATTTTTTGACGGTGAGATCGGGACACTAGGTATGATCCGACGGTGCCTGTTGAAATCAACGATCGACGGTGTGAATTCATAGATGAGAATAAGGTCGGCAGTTAACCGTCCGATTTAGTGAGATGCAAATTTTCCACCAAAGTGAAAATTGTGTGAGACTCTGAGCGGAGGCGTCTTAGGAAAATAAATATCAGGTGCACGCAGCACCAAGGAATAATAACATGTTCACGGTTGGGATTGTGACACCTGTCAAAAAGGTCATCATGGAGGGTAAAGAGATTTTTCAATATGACCGGGCAAACGAAGTGTTACACTACGTGTCATTCTACAAATAGTAGGATATATGTGTTAAAAAACTAATAACTTAAAAAATAAAATTTATTATCCCTTACATAAAAACACGTAATGTACCCATGTTTTCGTCATAATAAAAAATTACTTCGGAGCGTGGAGTGCGTAGTTGGAGAGATCGCGTGGGTGGTGAAAAGACGGGTAAATTTGAAAAAGATTCGGTCCGATAAACGGTGAAAAGTAAAAAGTAACGAAATTATGGAGTTTTGGCGCTAAAAAAGAATTTGCTGACTTCGAGGTGGTTAATTGGGATTGGAAAATTGGTGGGGTCCAGGGTTAACATGTCTGTGTGATCTTTGATTTGTGATTGGTGGATTATTTTTAGTTTGGTACGATGCACGAAATGGACGGACAGGATGTGAAAGACAAGAATAAGAATCCTCGACCGAAGAAACAAAGAGCGTGCAAACACCAACAACTAGAAGAAATAAATAATGTGAATAATTTGAACTTGTGTTTCTAAAGTTCCAAATTAATTACGAAACGTTTTACTATTGAAATAATTGGAGATCTTTGATTCCATACTTGCGAGAAATTTTTTTAGATAGATCGGCACGTTAGATCACTTGGAATTTTCAATTAATACAATTTTAACATGTGCCTATTTTATTATTGAAATAAAAAGATTGCTATGTTTTGATATTTATGATAAGCATTAATAAACAAAATTCCTAATATACCCTTATAGTTCAAAGAGAAAGAAGTCAAAAAACTCTCCGACTATCCTTTTCCACACCAACCACCCATTCTATCAGAAACCAACCACCTCCATCGCCGCTCTATGATTCCACAGGCGACACTCCATATATTCTCTCTTCCTCTTTTTCTTTCCCCCTTCTCTCTCGTTCTCCCCCACCCTATCAAAAACCACCCACCTCCATCGACCCAAATTTTCCGTCTTCGACCTCTGATTTAAGATCTTTCTTTCAGCATCTCTTATGTCCATCTCAGAAAGAGCACAAGAAGGAGGACAAAATATTGAGATGAAAAAGAAAGGAAGAGAGAAACGTGTGGGGAAGGGATGTGGGGTGGGGTGGACGATGCAGGTCTCTGGCAAGGCATCGGCCAATGGGGGAGGTATGGGGGGAGAAGGGTGTGGGAGGTGATTTGGAGACTAGGAATACAGGGAGTCGGTTTAATTTTGTTTTGTTTAATTAATTGTATTTATGCTATAAGAATACAGGTGTCAACAGGTCATTAGTGGGGAACACCACCTGTAATGTTGAGGTGTGTGTTCCAATCACATGGAAAAATTTCTCCATACGTGCAATGGGAAATTAAATGCACTAAACCTTTTGTATTAATTATAACAGTTTTCCAATAATATTGGACCAATATTTCTCCAAAAGAAAACTATAAATAACTCAATTAACATTCATTCCCAAAGATAACGCCTTCGGGGTACGACCAATATTTATTGTCAAACGCTCACCGTAAGTCATGATTAGTTTTTCGTTCATGCGACGAAGAACATATTTTAAACGATGGAAAAAATACGTATGAGGCAACCAACCACATGGCAAATTTTAATTCGACTTCAAAACGTGACAAATCCGGGATATTATACACTACAATTGGCTATTGCTTCAGCCATGGAGAAGTGCAAGTTCGATTTAACAACCGAAGCAGCAACGACCCCACCTGATTTCAAACTAGTGCTAAGCAAGCTATATGCATTCTTCCTTACACTCTACATGCAAAACGGATATCTACTGAGAGACAACATTACACCAGAAAAAAAAAAAAAAAAAAAAAAAAAATCACCCTGTGGCCTCATTGTCAATATGCATCTCCAACTCGGTCTCGCCCCATGCCACGACGATCCTCTCGTCCCCGACCCCGACCCGTGTACAGAGGCCTGTTGTAGTCTTTTTGTGGTGGGCCACCTCTTAATGGGGACCAGCTTCTCTCTCTAGCATCATGTGCCCATCGGCCACGGTGAGGAGGTAGATGCGGTGGTGGTGGAGGAGAGGGCAGTCGCCTGTCAAATGGTTTCCTTTCATTAAAGAAGCTATCCCTTCCCCGATCTCTGTTACCCCAATCCATAGGCACTGGCCTATCAAACTTGCTTCTTCCTCTGTAGTTATCAGAGTAATCCAACCGATCTCTTCGCAACTGGTGGTCAGGAAACCTGCCTTCGTGTTTTGGAGGTGGCAGCCCAGGGCCAAAATCTCGAGGGCCATTTCTGGCCCAGCCATCAGGTGGAGACCTATAGCCACCAGTTAAGCTCCTTCCAAAGGGAGGAGGATCAATTGGAGGACCAGGGAAGCGTCTATGAGGAGCACTTGGAGGTGGTGGCCCAGAATAACCCCTTCGAGGACTTCCCCCATGTCCATGACGTGACTTGTTGCAGTTGTTACAGTATTCTCGCCTTGCAAAGTTCAGGTTGCCACATCTGAGACACGTAAAGAATACAAGGATTGGGACATGCTGAATGCATATTTACAAGCACTTACTCACATAAAAGAAAAATGAAAGTAAAACTGGAAGGCAAAGAGGAAAACCTCTACCTAATCATAGGAATCAGAACCCTCTATGCAATCATAGTAGTGACAAGTTCCAAAGAGGAAAACCGCAAAAATAAGGAAAAGTAATATGAAAAACCAAAAGAAAGACGGGAAATGAACTTACAAAGGATCTGGGCAAATCCAGTCTCCGATTCTCTGCTGCACATTCGGATTATTTCTACTCCCTTCACCTCTGAATGGCCCAGGAACGAGCCCCGGCCCATCTAAACCTCTACCAAATGGCCTGCCAACACCTCTTCCTCGAGCAAAATGCGGTGAGCGGTCTCGATATCTACCAGAATCACGTGCACCGCCAAAATCACGCCCACGGGGGGGACCCCCTGATTGATTATACTCAGAGCTGTAGCGATTTTCTGCATCCCTGCGGTGTACAGGGGAAGCAGAACCTGCATGCATTCTATGTCCTGGAAAAGGTAGTGAATTGTAAGATAAGTAACTACCAATTGCACAGAAACAAAGACAATGGGAGTATATTTTAAGTAGCTGAGGAATTGGCACTTGTGACCCTGAAACTTCAATACCATCATTTCAAAGTTTGTAAGGACTGTTACCATCACTCGGGAACTCTTCATTGTGGTTGTTAAAAAGAAACATCATATAAATGTGGAAGATAATAAGAAGTTCAGATGATAACTGCCCTGGTTACTTCTCAAACAATTGGCGCATAATACCAGTAAATACAGCAATGAGCATGTCAGACCATGATTACTCAACCTCACAGTGCTGAACACATAACCATTACAAGCCTTTAACCTACATATCTGAAAACCCCCATAATCATGAATCTGGTGTACCCATAACCATGTATGGCCTTCTCGGTGATAAGGAAGAAAATTTCAACCATATCTGCAACCTACAGATAAAGAAGATGCAGATACACCTAACTAATATTTGATACAAACCAGCACAGAGAACAATAGTCCCAGTGCAAAGTAGTTCCAGAACCTTCAGTTGAAGCATGCCTGCAACAAAGAGCAGTGAAACCAAAGTGCACGGCCACAGGAAATGAACTGCCCAAAAAGAACCCATACCGAACTTCAAGCCTCCAAATAACTCTACAATTTATCCACTCCCAATATGTTTATTTCTTCAGAGACCTCTTCACATCTTTCAAAGAAATCAAAACCCCAGAGTTTACTAACCGCTGCATAACCATTCTGAATATTACAGTACGAAGAATGAAACAACTGATGCATGTCCAACCCAAATAAGTAATTCCCATTAATTTGTTGCCTCCATTTACCAGTTCACCTTCCAACAAATATAATTCATAAAATCCTACAAAAAAAATACAGAACCTAGAATTGACATGCTAAAAGAAGTTCCTGAAGGTCCTTGCACTCTACACCCAATTCAGCAATGCTGAGAATTAGTTACTATATAACCATCCAACTGAAACCCCAAAAAACAAGAAAAGTTGGAAATGAAACCGCAAACAAACCACTTATCAATACAATTCCCAAGCACAAGTTAAACCAGTGAAACCGAGAAAACTAGAAAAGCTCAACATTACCCAGCAAATAACACCGTCCTTAATTTTACTAACATGGTAAATTCATTACCACTTGACCAAACGGAATTTCCCACCATCTGGCAATTGTAACAAACTTTCCATCTTCCAGCAGCATTTCCAGTACGGCATCCTTAATGTTGGTTGCAAAATTGCAATTCAGAATAACAAAAATGATACTTTTAGTGGTGATAAGTTCTGTGCAAGCTCGCACCATGTCCTGTGCCCAGATATTCTTAAGACCCTCTCAAACTTCCATTTTTGATTGGCATTTCTATACAAATCTTATTTGATATGAACCGGACACCATAATCACCAATCCCATAAAAAAGCAGACAAAAACCACAACCATAGTCAATACAACAAAATGAGGCCTAGAAACCCATATTCATTGATGCAGCAACCCACGAGTTTACGCATCATATACATTTCCCATCAATACCCACAATATGAAAAAACAATTGCCCCAGACCATGATCCAAGACGGCACTCACACCAACATGCGTTCCTCAAGATTCATGTTCTTGCGGGCACATTCAGAGCTGTAAGACACAATAGCAGAATTCATTTATTCACAGTTTGACACTCGATAATTGGTCATAGATCCACATGTTCGACACGCAGTGCAAACAATCAATAGGTTCAAGAAACCCATATTTGTTGGCACAAATTCATAGGACAGTCGTAAACACTATCAAACACTTATGATAATCGTAAACACGATCAAGCACTTATGATAATCGTAAACACGATCAAGCACAAACTAAACTTTAATCATAAACACGAAACTAACCTTGAAAATCAACTGCTCATAAACTATTTCAACACGATAATATACAGTTCAAATTTATGCTCACAGAAGGTCGAAAACTAATTCCAACATATTAACCTCTTTGTTCTACAAGTTTCACTTCAAACACACAACATATGATAAAATCCTCCAACATATATTTAGATTTACTTCTGCATCAAAAGGCTTACAGAAACTCAAGAAAAAAAAAGTAATAAAATAAAAAATCATGAGTATGGAATCTAGAAGATAAAATGATAAATACTAATCAAATTAAGATTTAAGTACAAAATACAAATCAAATATTAAGATTTGAGCATAAATCACCGTCAAACAACGAATAAAATCCATGAAAATAAAAAGTGGAGAATTATAGAGACAAACCAGGGTCATCAGAGTAACGATCCGAACGAGTGTAGGGAGGAGGCTCGTGGCGAACCTCGCCGGGCTCGTAATCGCTGCTACGTCCACCGCCTCCACCACCAGCGCCGTCGCTGGTGGAGGGCCGCACGACGAGGCTGCTGAGAAGAGGCTGATGATGCGGTGCCTTTGGGTCTTTGTCCCTTGACCCCATCGTCCTGTGCGCTTCGCTGTTCGATAGCGATGAGACGCGAGAAAAAGGTGCGAGCGTAATGCAATGCCCTAAATTTGGTGTGAGAATTTTTGTGAAATTATGGAAAAGGGCGGCACTTTTTCTGCTTTTTACAATTTAGTAAGTTACATGGCTTACTAGAAATTTATCCAAACTACAAGGACGGAAATGCAAAAATAAAATTCTCAAAGGTTCAGATGGAAGTTCCACCGTTAACAAAGACCGACCACCAGCAATTCCTTTTTCAATAAGGAATTCAATTTGACGTCATAAAGATAATTAAAGTTACTTGGCCATACGACAATTTTTTTTTATTTTTTAAATGATGATGTGATGTTTATGTCTCTAAATAATCACTTCACTAAAAATTTGGGTTTTGAATTATTTTTTTGTTAAAATAAGTTTTTAAATTCAGTAAAAATTGCTAATTTCATAAAAATTGATAATTTCATTCCTACAATTATATTCAAAGTTATGTAATCTAATTTTTCGTCAACTTAAGTCACTTTACCACTTTACACACTTTAGAGTGTCACTCTGATCTTTTTCTTACCTATAAGCCCTTAAAATTTTATATAAGTTACAAATCTAACGTCTATTTTACTATCTAAAGTTAACTACACACATTATTTCTTGATGAAAACTTACCAGTTTACCCTCCAATATGTATCACATGCAAGTAATGTGACTTAAATTAACGGAAAAATAAATATTGTATCTTTGAATCTAACATTAGGATGTAACTGACAGATTTTTATAATTTATAGACTGATTTTTCTGGAAAAAAATAATTAGACCTGATTTTCTTTTAAATGATAATTTATGAACTAAATTGCAATTCACTCTTTTTTTGTTAAATAAAAAAAGAAAAAAAAGTTTTGTCTGTTTCTCTTGTTTACACTCGGAAAAGCAAAACGAGAGGTTGCTTCCATAGCTTTTTCCGTAATCAATCTGCAACACCTTCCTTTCCTTCCTGACCAGTCATTTATCACACCAGCAACCACCGCACCCGGCCCACCACCACCACCGCAGCACCCGCCAATTTCTCACTGGCGCGTAAACAAAGCTGCTTCAAACCTTCGTTCTCGAACGTTCGTACAGCTCAGAGCCGTAAAGGAAAGGACTTCGAGAGTGAGAGGCTCCCAAACCTCACCGAAATCCTTTTCCCCCACGTCTCTGATTCGCTGATCGAACTTCAGATCCGTTGGATGATCGGAGCGTAGAGAAGGTATTCCAGCTTCGTATGGATTTCTGTGAAGTTTGAGTGTTTTCTGAATCGCAACTTGCAGCTCTCGTTTTGGTTCCATTTTTTTGGTTGGTTGTGATTTTTAATTCTTGATTTCCGTATTTTCTTACTTGATTTTAGATTTTGGTTGAAAGTTTCATTCTTAATTTGGTTTTGTTGTGGAATTGTTTGGCGGAGGCTCTGTTTTTGTGAATGCTTTGTTTTCTTTGCGGAATTATTTGATAGTTATTATCTGTTCGGTTCCCGAGAAAATGAGGAAAGGAAAATTATATAAATTTCATGTCTTCGGCGTTTCCTTTGCAATCGGTTAAGTTAGTGCTTGTTTGCAGTTGAAATAATGCATATTTCGAAAGTATGATTCTAAATTGTTCTAATTTGCAAGGGAAGGCTGGTTGCAGCTTGGCATGCGGGGTCGCCATCGCGAAGCTTTCTCGATGTACAAGCGGTTGTCATCGAGAGACTATTCGAATACCATTGACCTGGATACGAAAGAGTTGATGGATCCTCTTGACATGGAAGAAAACTCAGGTAACTCGGTTTATTGAGCGTCTGAAGCATATTTATGCACATAATCTATTGTTTTGTACTTCCTTATGATGAATTAAAGCACATATTAAAAGGATAACGTCAGAGATACTTGTAAAGACCGCACTTTTCTTGGAAATTATAGTGAGGAGTTAATTGATTCTAAGGTCTTGTTTCGGCAGTAAGTATATGCTTATAACATGTATATCGTTCAACTAAGGGTTTAATCCTTGTATCCGTTTTAGCTCTTGTACAGAAAAGTACAGTTCCAGAACTTTCAAACCCCTCATGGAAGCGATCTTTCCCCCATGTACTTGTGGCAACTCTATCTGCATTCTTGTTTGGCTACCATCTCGGGTTGGTGCTTACCGTCCGCTTCCCCTCTCTTTTCCATAGTTTGTTTATGTTGAAGCTTAAGAGAATAATATACCTTTTTGATTTTTTGTTCTAACACTTGCTTTGTGCAGGGTAGTTAATGAACCGCTCGAAAGCATTTCTAAAGATCTTGGTTTCAAAGGGAATACCTTGGCAGAAGGTGGTATTAAGTAGATGTTTACTTTCTTTGTTTGTTGTAATCTAATGTCTGACTTTTGCATTTGACTTTTTGTACTGATGGGTTTCTGTCATTTTATATGAAATGAAGGTCTGGTGGTGAGTACTTGTTTGGGAGGTGCCTTGGTTGGATCTTTATTCAGTGGATGGTTAGCCGATGGAGTAGGACGTCGTAAGACTTTTCAACTGTGTGCATTGCCTATGATAATTGGTGCTGTTATGAGGTGATATATTTACTTTGAGAGGCAACTCTGTCACAGTATCATCATTTGATTAAGAAGTACATGGATCTTTATATTGTGAGATTGGTTTTCACTCTCTTCATATTTTCATAATATGTAATTTGTCTTTCAGTTTAGTAGCTATATCCATGGAAGCTTTTGGGTTGTGAACTTGTGATATAACATTTTGACGGTGCCCACTTATATGTACCTGTGTAGATTTTTTTTATCCTCATGGTACTGTAATATGATAGCTAAAAACGGGTTTTACTTTTTCTCTTTTATCTGATTTCTTTATCACAAAATCAGTTAAGATTAGTCTGGTTTCTGTAATGTAGATATATGATCTGTCAGTATCCCGATGTAACTGCACTCGTTTATATTTAACTATAAGTCTACAAGTAGCCCTCAATACTCACATGCTCGTATCTCCCAAGGCCCTCTTGTAATACATATTGAAGTACATCTGGCTAAAATTACTACCTGATTTTTCAGTGCATCAACCAAAACTCTTGCTGGTATGCTTATAGGAAGATTATTTGTTGGGACTGGTATGGGTCTGGCCCCTCCTGTTGCTTCTCTTTATGTGACGGAGGTAATCTAGCTTAAATCTTTTTTTAATTTGTTATTATATATTGTGCTTCTTATCTCATCTAATGTTTTTTCGTTAACTTGAGCAGGTTTCTCCTGCTTTTGTGAGGGGTACTTATGGCAGTCTCATCCAGATTGCAACATGCCTGGGGATTATGGGAGCTCTTTTTGTTGGAATTCCTGTTAAAGAAATCGCTGGCTGGTAAGAATGTGATAGGCTTCACAATATCTTTGATTCACATTTAACCTTTCAAACTTACTATTTTAAATTATGTGTCAGGTGGCGTGTTTGTTTTTGGGTATCGATAATTCCAGCTGTAATACTGGCACTTGCCATGGTATTCTGTGCAGAGAGTCCACATTGGCTACATAAGGTATGCTTGCATCACACTTGTCTTTAGTTGAATAGAAAAATTGAGCACACCTCTTAAAACAAATGTTAACAATCTCTGTTTCATATGATTTAGCAAGGAAGAACTTCTGAGGCAGAAGCTCAATTTGAGAAGCTTCTTGGTGGATCACATGTCAAAACTGCCATGGCAGATTTAGCCAAGTTGGACAGGGGAGATGAGACAGATGCTGTAAGCCTTTCGGAGTTGTTTTATGGACGCCATTTTAGAGGTATATATGATACGTTCTGGTGTTTCCTATGGGCTCTGTGTATATTTAGGCTCCTCTATCCCTCTCCATCCATCTATGGTGTATTTCTTTCCTCTTTCTTGTGATCTTTCGGCTTTCTGAAAGTGCTTGGTTATTCACGTATTTGTTTTGCAGTTGTTTTTATTGGGTCAACGCTATATGCTTTACAACAGCTATCTGGTATAAATGCCGTCTTTTATTTCTCCTCGGCTGTATTTAAAAGTGCCGGAGTATCATCAGGCCTTGCAAATGCCTTTGTAGGAATCGCAAATTTGTCTGGTATACTTTAGATTCTTGGTTGCATATTCACTTACCCACAACTATTGCATTCTGTCTCTTGACTGGATGGATTTTTATAATTTCCAGGATCTACTGTTGCAATGCTTTTGATGGATAAAGTAGGAAGGAAGCTGCTACTCTTATGGAGCTTCTTTGGCATGGTAAGTTGAAGTTGCATATCATTTTTTGGTTCACGGAATTCATTATCTTGCTAGGCAATTATGTGATGCATTTTATCCGCTCAGGCGGTGTCAATGGGTCTTCAAGTTGCTGCAGCAAGCTTTAATTCATCAGGGTCTGGATCACTGTACCTATCTGTTGGTGGAATGCTGATGTGAGTAATAATTTTGAATTTTACATCTTGAAGATTAATCGTATGTTGTATGATCATAGCCGCATCAAATAAATTTATCTGCATGCAAAATTTTCAAACGATAGTCTTCTTATACATATTGTACATGCTGAGGTTGTGTCCATAGCCCCTGCATATGTGACAATAATATGATTGTTGCCATATCGTGATATTTTATGATGCTTATGAAGCTTTTTAGAAAATTATATTCACCGGTTTGGCACCTCACCTTGGTGAATAATCACATTACACAATAACACGAATTAAATCAAACTTTTAATATTCAATCATCTACCCCAAAACTTGTGCAGGTTCGTCTTAACATTTGCTCTAGGAGCTGGTCCAGTTCCAGGTCTCCTTTTACCAGAAATATTCCCCAGCCGTATTAGAGCGAAAGCAATGGCCGTCTGTATGTCGGTATATTGGGTAACTCTCTTTCTCTGTCCGAATTCCATGTCATCTTCTTTTATGTATGTCTCCTGTGGTGAAAGGCTTCCTGTTCGGGTGGTCTGAGCAGCATCTTGTTT